ATGGGTGGACTTCAACTCCCAGAATCCCCCAGCCAGCCATGGAGTTGAAGTCCTCCCATCTTAAAGTGGCCGAGGTTGAGAAACACTGGTTTGGATGATCTTCAGAGGCCCTTCGAAGCTTTACAACCTAAGATGCAAAGATCCAAATCTTCTGAGTGATGCTCTCTTGCACGTTCCCTAAAGAAACCCGCTCCCCTGGTAAATGACGGGTGTTCACGCATCTGCTGGTGCACATGGGTACCGAAACCGAGCCGAGCCTCACCTGAGCCGACCCTCCTGCGGAAAGTCATGCGGTGGGTCGCTGCATGTCAGACAAGCTTCCCCATCCAGAAGGTAAACAAACACTCTTTCCTGTAACACAAAGAGTGAAAAACATTGAAACCAAGATCCGGAGTTGCCCCAGCAAGTACCACCTGCAAGGATATAGATTGATTAACATAAGGCAGCACCTACCTTGGCTGACCTGGAAAACGTTGAGCAAAATGGGACCTGGTAAAAGGGGCTCTTTCTGTGCTGCAGAACCCAGATGAACCACCAGGGGGCAGCAAAGCCACAGCACAAACCGACTCCCTTCCACCCCCAGTGGCCATGCAGAGTTTTGCAGCCCAACTATACAGTACAGTAGTCCCAATGTCGATAAATCCAATATGTGGAGTCCTTGAGGCTCTCTGAGCTTGGCTGATTTCTTGCAGACGTTTCATGACCTGTCTAGGTAACATCATCAGTGCTAGTGAGTGTGGGGTTTGCTCCCTGTTTATATACAGTTGCTTGCCCAGCCAGTGTTGTGGGGTGGGGTGTTTTCTCCTTGGTAGTTCCTTGATTAGGGTGTTGTTTTCTGCTAGATTGTTTGCCTGGTGTTAATTCCTGCTTATCTCTATGTGTCTATTTATCTCATCCATTTATCCCATCCATTTATCAGCCATCAATAGACACAATGAGATAAACTGCATGTACACACCGTTCAAAAGAGGCAATAGAAAGAAACAAAAAGACCAGAACACATCCTCTCCAGCAGCCAACACCCAGATAAACAAGGATTAA